ACCTTGGCTCAATCCTGCTTACTACATATGGTGCTCATGGCCTTATATTATATACACATTGTTCGTACTCCTAATACGGGCGTTTGTGTGCCTCATCCGCGTTTACATCTGTCAGTCCGGTTGGCAGACACCAATGTAGCCCTAATATTACCTCTGACTGGCACTCTATTTACTGTAGCTATACTTGTCAGTGTGAGACGAATTCTCTATGCACACTGAACCATTGTGCATGAAACGTGTTTCTACTTCTTGTATCTACCGTTTATTTATTGAATTTCCTTTTCAATCAACGGCACCTAAATTGTTTGGGCCCCATACATTGTATACTAAGTCGCTTTTTTTCTCTGATATGGACGTGTATTATATGTTACATATATACTAATGAATGATTCTGACTCTCTGCCCCGCAGGGTTCTGCTCTCGCCCCAGTGGAAGGGGTGGCAGGAGTACCACGACTGAGCAGTCCTCTCACCGATGCTCAACTTCTCACAGACATTCAGTTGAGGTCCGCTCCCTACTACAGCTGGCCTCGTTCCCAGGACCTCTCTATCTGTACTAGCTGCCTAGTTCCCAGGACTCTCTATCTGTACTAGCTGCCTAGTTCCCAGGACCTCTCATCTGTACTAGCTGGCCTAGTTCCCAGGACCTCTCTATCTGTACTAGCTGGCTAGTTCCCAGAGACCTCTCTATCTGTACTAGCTGGCCTAGTCCCAGGACTCTCTATCTGTATTAGCTGCCTAGTTCCAGACCTCTCTATCTGTACTAGCTGCCTAGTTCCCAGGACTTCTCTATCTGTACTAGCTGGCCTAGTTCCCAGGACCTCTCTATCTGTACTACTGGCCTATTCCCAGAACCTCTCTATCTGTACTAGCTGGCCTAGTTCCCAGGACCTCTCTATCTGTATTAGCTGCCTAGTTCCCAGGACCTCTCTATCTGTACTAGCTGGCCTAGTCCCAGGACCTCTCTATCTGTACTAGCTGTCGCTATGTTCCCAGGACCTCTCTATCTGTACTAGCTGGCCTAGTTCCCAGGACCTCTCTATCTGTACTAGCTGGCCTAGTTCCCAGGACCTCTCTATCTGTACTAGCTGGCCTAGTTCCCAGGACCTCTCTATCTGTACTAGCTGGCCTAGTTCCCAGGACCTCTCTGTCTGTACTTTTACATAGCCACTGTTCTATAGTGTGAGCCATGCCGTGTTTGGTGTATAAAGGGATCTGGGGTGCCACGTTGTTAAACGGGGGATTTTGTGCTCGTCACACGACGTTTTTAAATCTGGGAGGCCAAAATCCATGCTATTGTACGTATGGGGAAAAGTCTGTCTATGCTTGGATTTTTTGGTGTACTGGTGGTGTGTTGCTGTTTGTTCTCTAGGATGTTCACCGTTCTCTCTGCCATTCTCCACATTGGAAACCTCACCTTCAGAAAGGTCGGCACATCGTCATAAAGCACATCGTACAATACCTGTACCTCTGGGTTCTAGTATATATATACATACATGCATTGGTAGCCGTGGACTGCCTCAACTTCCAATGTTGTAGGCCATCTGTGTCCTAAAGACTTCCGTGCTTCTCCTGAATTTCTATTGCAGCTCGGCTAATAGCTTAGTCATCTGTAACCCATCTTCTTTCTTTGGTACTTGTTCCCCTTTTCCCTAGCCTTTCTTTTCCTTCTCTTCCAAACCTATACAATAGTCAATCCTCCACTCTTTAAAACCTGCAACCCCTGGGTTTTCAGACTGGTAGTAGTGGGGGCTGCAAGTGCTGGTAAGAGAGCACACCTCCTTGACACATCATTCCCTCACCCCCACAGAAGGAAGGAGAGGACTCGGTTGTCATCGAGAACATGGGAACCCTCTCCGTCATCTCCAGACTCCTCCAGGTCAGAGAGGAGACGCTGCGTCTGGCTCTCACCACTCGGACATCGAAAGCCGGCGGAGCCGACCTGTTTGTCACTCCCTACAAGATGGAGGAAGTAAGGGCACACTATGCATAGCATTCCATATGCTGTATATGTACATATATATATGTGTAGGTCAAATTTAAGTAAGGGCACACTATACATAGCATTCCATATGCTGTATAGTACTATATATATTGTGTGTCAAATTTAGTAAGACATACTGCATTCATACGTAATTACATATATATATTGTTAGTATTTAGTAGGGCACACTCAAATTTTAACTGGGTTCTCAGGTATTATTATTACCCACATCATATTTTTAACACGATTTGGCCAAAGATTTGGATTTGGATGTTTGGGAGCTAAGAAAGGTTAGGTTATGCGGCGATAATACCCAGCGTACAACAGACCCAGTCTCAGATTGCGTCTGGGGAGCTGCAGGGTGTCGCTGGTGGAAGGGGTGAGTTGAGGTGTCTGGGAGGTGAGACAGACACCTCATGTTTATATGGTGTATGTTCGTTTGTTAACGGTTCCGCCATTGCTCTGGGTGCGTGGTCTATGGCCCTATTGCCATGGCAGCCACCTGAGTATTATTATTATTGGCCAAAGAATGAGGTTTGTGAATTCCATTCACTCATTGAATTTTACAGCAATTACGTGAATATAAAGCAATGTTGAATCATTATTATCGTATAGAAAGTGTGATAATTGCAACCGCAAGGTTTATATCATTGTGTGTACAAGTTGTACGGTGTTTGTAAGTTTAACCCTGTTCTCACTGCAGGCAGTGGCGGCGAGGGACTCTCTGGCAAAGGCTCTCTACGGGTCTCTGTTTGACTGGATTGTGGACCAGGTCAACGTCTCCCTCGCCTCCTCCTCCTCCAGACTTCACCCTCATAAGGTATATACACTGACATTAGTGATAGGGCAGGGATAGAAGCTTAGCTCGATTGTTGAGATAGTTATTCAGAAAGTATTATTGTCTGTATATGCGTGGTCCATAGATATGTATGGGAGTATAGGTACTTAGAAAAATAGGTGCATTTTCTCGTGAAATTTTCATTCATATATGCATTTATTCTTCAACTCATGGTAGCTCTGTAATGACATGATTGTCAAACATGTGTATCACTAAGTATGCTACGTAGTATATAGGGATGGACATTGTACCTTGCATCATAGATGTATTGGGCTATGTTGAGTTTTGTTCATCATCTATGCATACAATGTGCCATACATGTTTACAGGGTCGTTTCATAGGAGTGTTGGACATATTTGGATTCGAGGTGTTCCAGAACAACTCGTTCGAACAGTTCTGCATCAACTACGCCAACGAACAGCTTCAACAGTACTTCAATAAGCACATCTTCACACTGGAACAGGTGAGTCGTCTAGACTGCAGAGTGTCGTGGGTTCGAATCCCACCCAGGGCAGCTCTTCTTTTTTTACTTAGAAAAAAGGGCTCTCCTGGGTGTAGTTGATTTGCCTTTCTACCTCATAGTGAACATATTTACGTCATTTCACCACGAATGTTGAGGGAAGAAATTGTGTCCTTATTAGAGAGGTGTCCTCGTTTGAAGGGTGTCCTTAGAGAGGTGACCTCATTTCAGGAGTGTCCTTAGAGAGGTGACCTCATTTCAGGGGTGTCCTTAGGGAGGTGTCCTCTTTTCGAGGGTGCCTTTAAAGGTGAATTCCACTCCATACAAAACCAATACCCACGCAGGCGGAGTATTCGTCTGAGGGCATAGAGTGGTCTTCAGTCAGTTTCATTGACAACCAAGAGTGTCTGGACCTCATTGCCAAGAAGCCCACTGGCCTACTGCCACTACTGGACGAGGAGTGCAGGTATATAGACTGTTGTTTGTTTCACTCTTGATTTGTTCCTTCTTTTTCCTTCGAATATGAATGTGTTGTTTGTTTCACTCTTAACCCTTAGCAAGCCACAGGCATATATGTATATGCACAGAGCCTCCAAAAGTCCATAAGAATTTATATATGGCTATAATACTAGGCATAATTTCTGCTTATTTAAGGAGATACTCATAGCGTTCCAAATGGTGTTAATTTCTTCCTTCCTTTTCCTTCTGATGTGTGTTATGTGTCGCCTCTGTCTATTCCTCTCCTTCCCACCCTTCCTTGCCATCTCCCTCCTCCTTGCCATCTCCCTCCTCCCTTGCCATCTCCCTCCTCCCTTGCCATCTCCCTCTCCCTTGCATCTCCCTCCTCCCTTGCCATCTCCCTCCTCCCTTGCCATCTCCCTCTTCCTTGCCATCTCCCTCCTCCCTTGCCATCTCCCTCCTCCCTTGCCATCTCCCTCTTCCTTGCCATCTCCCTCTTCCTTGCCATCTCCCTCCTTCCTTGCCATCTCCCTCCTCCCTTCACCAGCTTCCCCGGAGCCGACGACAACTCGCTGTTCCAGAAGTTTGAGAGACAGCACAAGACTCATCCTCACTACAGAGTTCCTCAGTTGAGACATCAGAACCCAGTCTTCACCATCGTTCACTACGCCAGCGACGTCACTTACTCCGTCAAGGTGTGTGGATCATACATGTTGTACATGTACTACAGTGGGACCTCTGAACAAGGGAGACTATGGGACCAACGATTTTGTCCCTTGTAGAGAGGTCGTCCCTATCTCGGAGGTCAAATAATAATGTATTAGCATGGGGTTTAAACAAGTGTCCTTTGTAGAGAGGTTGTCCCTATCTCAGAGGGTCCCTTATCGGAGGTTCCTAGATGCCTATATGTACAGATAGAAAGCCTGCTAAGAACAATAAGGTAGTCTATAGTGAATATGGTATGGATTATGCGAGGTCTCATTCCTGTGTTCCAGGGGTTCAGAACCAAGAACCGGGATCTGATGAGGCAGGACATTATCGACGTCCTCAGGACCAGTCACAGCGACCTGGTCAGAGCACTCATCGGTCTTCCTCCTCTTGCGGTCCACCGCTGGCACCTCGCCTTCCGCACCATCATCGCCTCTTCCACTTTCAAGTTAGTATATAGCCACTAACCAGGGCCAGTGTGAGCCTCTTATTCTTAAAATTTTGCAGAGTCAATATTGAAATCCTTTCTATAAAATTACACGAAAGCCACAAATGCAACTGCAAGGTTATACTTGACTCTCGTGCTATGCTCTAGCTACATATGTACATATTGTAAGAGGGCTGGTTTTCGCTGAGTATTAATTATATACTTGTTCTGTAGGAAGGCTGGGGTGGTGCACAAGATGAAGAAGGAGGGGAGGATGACCACCTCGTTTCAACACCGACTCCTGAGAGCTGCCACTCCTCCCGTGCCTTACAACCAGACTGACGGGTACGTGAAACCTGTTTTACTACGTACCTCTCTGTGTGGTATATACACACGGTTCAAGTGAAAACCGGTTTACCAGGTTAATGGTTGTATGATGCATACACAGGGAAACCTCTCAAAATGAACTGAAAACCAAGAAACAAACACTATGTTTAAAAACTAACGAAGCGAGGTTGTACTGCTTACATAAGCACTAAAATTTCGCTTGGTACACAGTCTTCATTTATTGTACATTATATATACCTTATCATTTTGGCTTTGTAAGTGTCCATCTTTCTCTCGTCTTCTTCTCTCTTCCTTCACGGCCTTGCTGTGCATATTTCTGTATGATCTCCCTGTTTTACTTGCTTTGTCTCCACTCACTGTGTACATATTTCCCTTCCTCCCCAGTTCATCTAAGTTGTCTCAGAGCTATAATATACACACCCACAACCTGACTGATGCACTGACATTTGATTCCACCGCAAGACTCGGAGCCTCTTCCTCGTCTCCCGGCATCAGAACTAGCAGGTACACCCTTTAGATTGTGAGTGTGCGGTTCGTATGAATAGGTGAGGGTTTCCAGAGGTAGGACCAGTCTTTGGGTTAGACAACAACGGCAGCTACGGTGATGAAACAGCTAGCCCTACAGAACACCTCCCTACCCTACTCTTGTTACTGCAAAGCTAGCTCTTACAGTTGAACCTCCGATAAGGGACCTTCTGAGATAGGGACGACTTCTCTACAAGGGACACTTGTTTCAATCCCATGCTAATACATACTTTAGTGTATTATTTGACCTCTGAGGTAGGGATGACCTCTCTACAAGTGACAAAATCGTTGGCCCCATAGTGTCCCTTGTTCAGAGGTTCCACTGTATATACAAAGTTTTGAGCTGGAGTCCGGGGGAACCAATGTTCCTACTACAATACTCTGTGTATTGTACCCCCAGGTCCTTCAACACTCTGTGTGAGGCGGCAGATCACGAGTGGAAGAAAGGGGTGATGGTGAGAAGCTCGTCAAAGGAGGAGGGGCCTACCACCATGATCTACGGCCTCAGTCCAAGGTCAGTACCGCTGATTTAATACATACATGCATGGTGAAATTGTACATGTCAAGGTCAGTACCGCTGATGCATGGTGAATGAAAAGCACTAAAGTGCAAACCCTCGGCGAACTGCTGTATACTTACATAATTTTCTGTGTTTTTCGCATTACGTGCTAAAAATGACGTAATTTGACTCAAAATGATGTTTGTGTATGTAGACCTCACAGGAGACCAGCTGAGCTTCCTCTGACATCTGACGGAACAGATTCTGTTTCCCCAACTTTCTTCATCAGTGAATCGTCAGACCTCGACCCCCTCCACCCCTCCCCCCTCATCCTCCTCCGTCGTCACCCAGACCGGTTCAAAACCGGTCAATCCGGTTTCCTCGACCAAGCCCTCGTATGTCCAGACGGCTCGTCAACCCGGCATCGCTCGCTCCTCCCACCAAGCATCTTCACCTCTCACTACCACCACTTCTGAAACTGGAACTTTACCCGAATCGCGACAACAAGTCCCGGTTCGACGGACCTCAAGAGAGAAGAGGGGATTGGGAAAGATGGACTCATGGTCGCGACTGCCGTCCATAACTCACCTGCAGGAGAAGTTGAGGAAGAGGTGGCCGCGGACGATGCGGGTGGCGGGGAGTGCTGGGGGAGGAGGGGGAGAGGGGAGAGAGAGAAGCCCCAAGTACTGGAAGACTGCGCCTAGACTTGTGAGTACTGCAATATGTGGCCACTCGGAACTCAAACCTTCCACATACAACGACTGGTAGAAGAGTATATCTTTTCTTAATACTTTGTATATTCTTCCTACTTTCATTGCCTGATCGACAGTGATAAATTCTCCTTCGCCCTCTATAGAGAGATATAGAGTCCACAGACGGTCCGTACAATTTCACCGCTCTGGCCAGGACAGCTGCGAAGAGACAGCATGGGCTGTCCAAGACTGTCAGTGGACAATTCCAGGTATGCATGTATTATAGTAATGGAGAATCGGTCCATCTTTCACCTCTCTTATTCCCTCCTCTCTTCCTCAGTCCTCGCTAATAGCTCTAATGGAGACTCTGGAGAGAACAAATCCTCACTTCATTCGCTGTATCAAGTCCAACAGCCGGAAGGCTCCGTGTCAGTTTGACGAGGACCTGGTCCTGAGACAGTTGAGGTACACTGGCATGGTTCAGACGGTTCAGATCAGGAAGGCTGGATACTCTGTCAGAATCAGTTTCGAGGTCAGTAGCTAACGTCACTTGTTTTTCCTGTTACACTAGTTGACTGTACCAGTTTTTCCACGTACACTAGTCCACCCTTTACCAGTTTTTCCTCTCCCCCCCCTTCTTAAATGCCCACCCATCACATTTGTACACTAGCTACTGTTGTACCTGTTTTCGTTGGTGTATATAGGATTTCTATGAGAAATACCAGTTCCTGATGGGAGTTCGAAGGTCAGATCTCGCCTCCCAAATCAACCTCTTCCTCCAGGGAATGGACTTCACCAAAGAGCACTTTCAAGTCGGCAAAACAAAGGTCTGAGTAATCCACAATCGAAACGGCATTTGAGTCCCAAGTATTAATCTGCCACATATATACATAATACTAATGATGGGTCAAAAGTTGGATCTGTTAGAAACTGAAAGTCAAACATGAAAATCTCAAATGTATGGGCATAATGCAGTATGACCTGTGTCATCCCTATGTACTTTGTAGGTTGTGTCATCCCTATATATATGTAGGTATGTACTACCGTATGGTAATAAAAGGGTAGGGGCTATAGTGAAAGAGTATGGGATTAGAGGACCGCCATATTATGAGAGACTGTGTGTACCGTGCACTAAGTGAAACGAAAAGCACTGAAGTGCAAACCCTCGGCGTACTGTGACGCGCACGCGTAAGTAAACGCATGCGCCGTACCACTAATTGATGGGCTGGGTTTAGTTTTAGCGCGTCTCTTGCCAGCTCGCGCAGAGTCTGACGCGGGCTAACTACACTACTAGATAGCATGCGAGAGGCGATACACGCCCTGCGTTGCATCTTCTGGTGCCTCCGAAGTACGCAGATCACGCGGATCGATCCGACTGTGGTAAGCCGTTGTGTATTTGCATATTGGCTTTTTCGCGCTCTAGCTTTGCAACGGAGCATTTTCAGAGAAAACCGCCTTTATTTTCTGACCTTCGTCGCCCGTTGGGTAGATGGTATCGTTTCTGGGACAAACAGACGTTCGAGGAGTGAGATTGAGAGTAACAGACAAACAGACAGACCCAACTACTGTACCCTCGCTGCGCATGCGCGCCGAGGGTAATAAGACACCTGATTATACCATACAAAATTATGCATGCCATCGTCTAATGGTGGTTTAGCAGTGAAAGTAGGAAAACAGGTTGCCACAGGTTGCTAAGTGTACATGTGGTTCCGTGGTTGCCGAAATGTTTACATTAAAACCGAAGGTAAACCCGTGTTCTGGTATGTGATACAAACCTTGCATATGTAATACACCTGTGAATACTGTATATACTACATGTATACTACATAAATACCAATATGCTCTCGCATAGCAATAATATGCGTATGGCGTGATTTCTGTGGCATACGTAAGTATATAGAATCATGTAGTGTGTGCGTGTGCATCAGTCAGTGTGTGCGTGCGGCAGTCAGTGTGTGCGTGCAGCAGTCAGTGTGTGTGTGCATCAGTCAGTGGCAAGGCGGGTGTAGCAAGCATGTGTGTTCGTGAGCAGCAGGGCCATTCGGCAGGGATTTCAGGGCTGACTGTAGATACTAGTGCAACATGCAGTGTAAGTCAATCTTTCAAACTTTGTTTATGATGTGGAGTACTGTGTGTAATTAGTGAAGTGAACAGGAGTTGCCTCACTAATTGTCAAGTGTAAGCACATGTCTTAATGTACAGCTAGCTGTATTAGCATGGGGTTGAAACAAGTGTCCCTTGGTAGACAGGTCGTTCCTATCTCGGAGGTAAAATAATACACTAAAGTAGTAGCATGTGGTTGAAACAAGTGTCCCTTGTAGACAGGTCGTTCCTATCTCGGAGGTCAAATAATACGCTAAAGTATTAGCATGGGGTTGAAACAAGTGTCCCTTGTAGAGAAGTCGTCCCTATCTCGGAGGGTCCCTTATCGGAGGTTCCACTGCAGGTGTTTATGCGGGAGTCACAGAAGTATGCTCTGGAGGAAGAGCTGAGGGAGAAGGTGCTGGCAAGGATAGTGGTCATCCAGCGATGGGTCAGAGCCAAACTCACCCGTTGCAGATTCCTACACACGAGGAGAAGTGCCATCATACTCCAGGTACATAGGTATATACACACCACTCTTCCTCCTCTTAGTATGGGTGTACTATGCTGACTAGTGACAGTGGGATGGAGGTTTTTAACACTAAACCAGCCACTGACACATAAATGTGTCCAGAGCCTCCATAAGCCCATAAGAATTTATATGTAGGTTATAATACTAGGCACTAATACTTTATACATCAGTTTCTGCTTATTTAAGCAGATCCTCATGGTGTCCAAAGGGTTTTAAAGAGAGTAAACCGTAGTCCATACACATACTAATGCTTCTTTCAAATGGTATTGTAGTCAGCGGTGAGGGGATGGAGGTGTCGTGAAGGAGTCAACCAGATGAGACTCAGGGTGTGCAAGGCAGTGGAGATCCAGGCTGCCTGGAGAGGCTTCGTGGAGAGAAAACGACTGATTCGACTCAAACAGGCCGCCATCATTCTTCAGGCCCACTGGAGAGGAAGATGCAGCAGAATAAGGTAATGGCAATAGCTACATCAGTGCTAGCTTTAACCTAGAAACTGTTAATAAAACGGAAGTTAATTGCAGTGGTCCTTATTGTTTAGTTCTTTAATAACATTTCTTCAACTTTGGCTAACACTGATACACATTAAAATTTCTTGACGGTGAATGCATGAAGTGTGTGTCTGATTGTGTAGATATGTAGAGTTGCGCGAAGAGTGGAAAAGGGTGAAGGAAGAGGAGAGGCTGAGACATAAACCGGAGCCCAAGGAGGAGGAAGAAGCTACCGGCACTTCAACACTTGAAGGTTTGCTATAATAAACCTGTGTTCCATCTCAAGATGCATGAAAATCTACCTCCTTACTTCTGCACTCTCCGTTCTATTTTCTGTTTTCCCTCACTCTTTTTTTTTTTTTCTTTTTAACAACTCTCTTATTATACTCTTCTCTCTTCGATATTTCATAATGTGTAGCCGTAGCTAATGTGAAGACAACATCACCACCTCAGCAGAGGCACAAGAAACAGGATTCCTGTGGTGCAATAGTAGACGCCGAAGTATCAGACGTCCTTTTCCACTTTGACACCATTGTCACCGAACTCGAAAAGTCCACCCTCACCTCACGCTCCGTGACACCCATAGACCCCCTCGCAAGGACGCCCACACCAAATAAGGGCAGAGCTAGAGAGCTCACCAGTCCTGATATTTTCTTGCAAGCTTCTTCTTCTTGTCGACAGGAAGGAGGAGAAGTAGGAGGAGGAGGGAGAGAGGGAGAGGTAAAGGGGAGCGAGGTAGTTAGAGAGCTCCCACCGAAGAGCGTCCAACCAAAATTCAAAGTGGAGGACATCAAGCAGCAGTTTCTTCAGAACGCCCAGCGGCATTTGACGACATCGACGTCTCTGACCCCGCGACCCCACCACGAGATGACTCCCTCCAGTAGAGAGAAGGTGAAGAACATCATAGCGCAGATGCAAGCTTCGTCGTCCTCGAGAGAGACGAGCCCTTCGCCGACACCGGAGCAAGATGGGAGGGACCCGTCCCCGGTGAAACAGACGCGTCAACGCTCGTCGTCCATTTCGCAGAGAATATCGATGCTGACACAGGTCTCTGTGACGGAGGGAGAGGTCTTCGAAAAGAAGGAACAGCCGGTGGTTGCGTCCAGGAGAATATCTGAGATCACCCACAATTTCGAGTTGAAGAAGCAACCACCGAAGGAAGGGGGGAAGACGAAATCAGCCTCTGGTCATAAACGGAGAAGATCTTCGTCAGCGAGCAAGTCAAGCAAGGGAGACGACTCGCCAAAGATTCTCTCTCCGCCGAAATCAAGTAAGAGGTTTGGGTCCTCCCACGAAAATGGGTTGCCTCCGGCTGTGAAAAGAGCGCGGGACGCCTCTCACGTTGTGGCGAAGTATACGTCGCGAGAGATCGAAGAAGCACTCGGGGAAATGGGGCAGGTTCCGAGTAGTTCTACTTCTGATCAGACTGTGGCAGTGACTCAGGGGGAAGATTCGAGTACAGAGAAAGTCCTTACGGAAGGGCATTCTGAGGTTACTGTTACTCCAGCTGTTTCTACTGGTTATCTCCCTGTGGAAGGCGAACATGAACAAACTTCCGTTGGGAGAGAAGTTGTAGAAGCTTTACCAAGTGGAGAGGCGGGAAATAAAGACGATGTCACTGGTAATTCCACGATGTCGATGACATCATCATCTGAATTTGTAAGAACCGAACCAGTGGGAGCAAATACATCGACGACATCATCATCTGAATTTGTAAGAACCGAACCAGTGGGACCAGATACATCGACGGCATCATCATCTGAATTTGTAAGAACCGAACCAGTGGGACCAAATACATCGACGACATCATCATCTGAATTTGTAAGAACTGAACCAGTGGGACCAAATACATCGACGACATCATCATCTGAATTTGTAAGAACTGAACCAGTGGGACCAAATACATCGACTGGAGATGAGCCTCAAGCGCCGGTGTCTGTGTCCAGCCAAGCCAGCGAGGGAGTGCTGCTCAGGAATGAATCGACGTCATCCGGTGATGGGTTACTCAGCCCGGCAGCCGTGGAGCACACATATCGTTTCAGGTCCGTTAGCGACATCTCTCACCACGCCCGGAAACTCACCTCGTATCGCACCGAGGGCTCTTTGTCTTCGGGCTCTCTCGCTGATCTCGAGGGAGACAGTAAGGTCAGGTCATATACCACTCTAGCTCATAAACCGGGACCATGTTATGTATGTGTGATAGCAGTTTTGTATAATTATGAATACAAGCTGTACGTATATATTCTGGGTTCAGTACATGTATGCACTGACCCTCCCTATTTATCCACTCGACAAACAATTTGAAATTCAATACTTTTTTTGGTTTTTGCGTCCAATCATAATCGTTTCCAAGCCCGGCCCACTAGAACAAGTATGTACATGTAGTTTTAAATCTCTCCTGGTCGATTCATGTTGTATCTCTGTCATTCAGGATCAGACGACAGAGCTGCACAGAGTCCCCCTGAAGACGACCCACGGCGGTAAGAAGAGGAACGTGGTCTCTGTGGCCGACCCAACTGACATACTCACCAACCTTCACCTCGCCCGCTACCCTCTGGAGCAGTCGTCGGAGCTCACCCAGGGTCTCGGGCCGGACGACGTGCGAAGACTCAACAACCGGCAGCGAGGAGAGGAGCGCTACACGTTCACCTCCCGACCGACTCAAACTGTTCTCGTTCTCCAAGCGTCACTTGCGATTGCCGTTCAGCCGAGGGAAGGGGAAGAGAGAGGAGCACAAGGGTAAGAGGGAGAAGCACGTGAAGCTTCCTCCACCACCGGCCACGGAGAAGACTTCGCCCAGGAGGAGAGGGTCTAGGAGCGAGTCACGGAACAGACGACTCTCCAGAAACCAGCCCGGTGAGACCAACACACACCTAATCGTCATTTCAAAGATTGTACATAGTGTTGGAATATTTTCCTACTTCATTGATCGCCGTATACAAGTATATACACAAGTATGAGAATACACTCAGGAATTTTACTTTTTATAAGCGTGTCTACTGCTTTTGTTGATTACTCTTTTAAGCTCAAAATGAAATTGGTATCAGTATTTTGTATCAATTCTACCGTGCAGTGTATAATTCTCCCTCTTTTTAGTACTACACTGTGTGTATCGTGGTTAAACTGTACATATCAGATATGCTGCTTCCCCACACGTTTGCTGCCACTTCCATCGTGAAGGGAATGCTGTGCGAAGTCTGTCACAAGGGATTCACCGGGTTCATGAAACACAGTCTCAGGTGTACCGGTGAGTGAGTGGGCTCCAACAGAACGCACAGAGAGATTGTGGTACCTGTTGCAGTCAGTAAACGTGTTGTGTAGAGAGAACTTTCCAGCTATATAGGCGCCATAACACTCTCATTTGGAGGAGTTATTAAAGGGAACGTTAAAGGGCAAGATTAGAAACTGTTGCTAAAAACGAAACATTCTCACACTGGGCCGTATTGTTCAGCTCTATCTTTAGTAACATTCTAAATTTAACCCTATAATTATATATACTGCCAGATTCCTTTTAATGGGGCAGAGTAAAGAAAAAAGAAAAAAATTTCAAACAACTAACAATACTTGCCAATCCCTCCCAGGATGTGGAGTGGTGGTCCATAAACACTGTGAGAACCGGTGCCCTCCCTGCAAGGCCCTCATAGAGTCCGGTTCCTACGTGACCATGTCGCGGAAGAAGATTGTCAAGGCTCTGGACGACCTCGACGACCTGGCGCAGTTCCTACTGGATAAGATATCGATGTTGAACCGAGACGGAAGTACGGGCAGCAGTAAGGTCGATAGAGTGTTTGAGACTGCGCTGTTGGAGTTGCATCACTCTCTGGTGTCCAACTACTCTCTCACTCTGCAGGTATATAGGGCAATAATAATTGCCGAGCACGTTAGCGTGAGGCAACTACTCCGGGTTGTATTCTCGCGATATGCGTACGTACGTATGTACGTCGGATCAATTAGTCACGCTTAGGAATGTCAATTAGTCACCAAAAGAAAGTGTAACTTACGTCATTCGTAGGAGGTCGGCCTCAGTTGCTCGAGTGTTTACGCATTGGCTGGCAGGCATGGGGCAAAATATGCGTGTGCGCATTCCTAGTAATAATAATGCTTGGGTGCACTTAGCTCAGTCAGTTCGACTTCTGTCTGAAGATTTTATTTTCCAGCCCGAGTTTTTATATATGTGTATGATTATTACCTCTCAGAAGTCTCTGGATGTATCAGATCATCTACGGGAGAGTGGTACCAAACCACCCCCCTCCCCTACCACACCACAGTCGACCGAAGTGGACCAAAGGGTGACCATCACCTTTGCCCAGCTGGTCAACAACTTCACCAACATCTTCAAGGGCATTGCCAAGAGACAGGGTCTGAATGACCCTGGCTACCTCGCTATCAGTGTCAACCAGATGAAGAGCTTTCTGGACGAGTTCTCTAAAGGAAGGTGTGTGGATAATAATATCGACGAGAGAGTGATACGAAAGATTATTCAGTAGAATTTTCATGTGAAATTTCCTTGAATCTGTTAACAATCTTCTTGTGTGATGATGTTAATCTTTTGTTGTCCGTGTGATTACAGGAGAAAGAGTATGGTGAAGGCAATGTCGGGAGGTATAGAGCCGGCCACTCTCAGGAGAAAGACTTTCTCTGGACACGGTCTTGAACTAGTGGTCAGTCAGTCAGTATGCATGGGACAAGAATATTTGGTTGAATGGACGCCTTCCAACTGCGATTATGTCGAGATAGAGGCATATGTATATACAGTAGGTAGGGAGAACAGTAGAGAAGAGTATAGATAGCTGTTTACTGATACTATTGAATTATAAAAATAGAGTCATTCAGTTCAGTCTCCTCGGCCATCTCTTTTGGGGTGAGAAGAACAGTGTCCATTGAACATGGAGCTATTATTATCTATTTACAAGGTGGCCACTAGTGGCTCTCTCTCTCCCTCTCTCTCTCTGTGTGACAATTCAGCCTCTTGTTTCTTGTCTGTCTGCAGGATCACAATGGGCACAGGTTCTTCACAGAGACATTCAAGGTGGCCACGGTCTGCGAGTACTGCAATGACCCCATCCCTCTTCTGGAGAAAGGAGAGGTCTGCATAGGTTTGTAATTCCTTGTGCAGTTTCAACACGTTTCAGTTACTGGCCTAGTGGATGGCATGCTGCTAACGCAATGGTAGTTGGTTGGAATTCCACAGTACCAATCATTCTTTTTCACCTCAAAATTGTTCATCTCATCTTTATTGGTCCACTGCATGTAAAGTGAGTATTCTTAGTTTTTTGTATAGTGTTCGTGTCTCAATGGTGATATTTCTCCACATCTTTGTGTCGTAGTGTGTGAGTACACGTGCCATCAGTCGTGTCTGAAGCTAACGTCTGGTAGGTGTGAGGGAAAGGACAGGGCCAAGTCTCCTCCTGCCACCAACAAACCAGAGGTACTGCATACTCCACACCTGACATGGAGTAACAGCTATGAATATTGATAAGTGGAGTACAATATAGTATATACTCCTACATCTATGACAGTAGGAGGTGGATGAGAAGAAGAGGAATGAGAAGAGTAATGCTTACACCAGGTCCTATAGTTAATGGCAAACTCAAAAGGGGAAGTAAGCATTCCTGGCTGTCCAGTCTCCACTTCTATTGTGAGAGCAATAACACTGCCGTGCTGTGATCTCTAGGCCTATCTTAGAATGACACACACACACACAGTCACAAATTTTATTTTAAAGTGAGCTTCTATGATATTCAATGTGTTTCCCTGCAGACATCTCAGAGCAGGAGTCAGTTTGGAGTGGCTTTGGAGTGTCTGGTTCCCCCGGACTCCACCCAGGTCCCTGCCGTTCTGGAGAAATGTCTACACTACATTGAGGATCAAGGTCTGTTTGCCCCATTAATTATCTATTATTATATGACATTTTGCTCTGACCAGCACGTTAGTCTATATGTTGCATGTGTATATCATACTGGACGTTGTTTCTCTCTGCTCGTGCGCAGGTCTGTATGTTCAAGGTATCTACAGGAAGAGTCCGGGAGCCAGCAGTAAGAGAGCTGTCAAAGCCACTCTTGAAGAAGGTACTACATGCATATGAGTATTGCTAGAGGACACTTGAAATACAGTTCGATACTGTAACTACTGTTTGTTTAGTGTATATATATATACATAGGTCAGTTGATGTCAAGCCCAGACACTCACTTATATAACTCATCGTAATAAGTCCACCTAGTCGTCTGAATTTCATATAGACATCATACACATACTCGTCAATTGCCTCGTTCTGTAATGTTAATCTTCATCACTGCAGACCCAGGTGGGTGTTCGCTGGAGGGATTCCATGTGAATGCAGTAGCTGCGGCAGTTGGGGCGTTCTTTCGAGAGCTGCCCACTCCCCTCATCCCCAAGGACCGCTACACTGACATTCTCAGAACTATAGGTATACACATAAGTAGGATCAACTCTTACTAACTATACCCAGTTTTAGTTGTTCATAAAGACGGTGTTGTCTTCGGATCAATTTGTGTCAATGATGATCAAACTTATCAAAAGTAGGCCTTAGTGTTACTAAGTTCATACATCAGTCTCCATTTTTGACGATGTGACCAGATTTTTGTTGATATTGAGACTCGAAACTTCCGAGTCTTCGTGTCCCACTTATTTACTAGTGTTTTATGTTGCAACGACAGATCTGACAGACAGGGAGGAGATGCTGGAGGCATTACATCATCTTCTTAACAGACTTCCGGCCCTCAACTATGCCGTATTTGAGAGGCTCATCTTTCACCTTGCTCGGTCAGTTTTTAGCAAATAGTGTATTTGAGTAACGCGTTTCATTGCTATTAAGTAGTGTATACAGCTCATATCACTAGCCTGTCAGTATTTTCTAGCGGGGGAGTTACGGACCACATGGGCCTATTAAGTAGCTTACTGGCTACTTATCAGCTGATTACTGAGATAATATGTGCTTGCTTTAAGAATTTGTGCCTTTGTGGGCAGTAAGCTTTGTCTTTGTTGACTTTCCATCTCTGCCACTGCTCCCTGCAGAGTGGCAGAACAAGAGCCGGCTAACAAGATGAGCCCCTACAATCTGGCGGTGATATTTGCTCCCTGTCTGTTTCAAGGAGAGACCAAATCAAGGAACCCTCAGGACCTCATCAAGGAACTGGCCAAGCAGACCATGTCAGCTGGATAAACACCTTGCACCTATACGTTGTCGCAAAACCCTTTTTTCCCCAGTGAAACTCTTTCAATAGGCCTTCATACATATAACTTCCAATGCTAATCAGTAGTGTCAGTAGAGTTTTAAGTGTTAGTAATAATTATGTTGTAAGACAGAGCTATAAAATATATAGTAGTTCTACTCGATTTCCATAGCAAAACAGGAATAGTTCAACGCAATATTATATACTACCAAAGTCAATTCCAACTTTCTATTTTTATGGCACAGGGAAGTTTTAAATGGCTTATGCATTTTGTTCTTTTAGTCGTTCTCCACTTTAATCTCTATATAATATGCTGCCAGTGAAAGTAGATAGAGTAGAGGATTATTTTGTCGCCAACAGAGTGTTGGAGGTGATAATAGAGGAGCAGGTTGAGAAGCTGCAGGCCACTCTGAGGGGGATTGAGACTCTGAGTGTGGTGGCAAGACACACCGCCTCGAAACTCACCGAACTCATCAGCTCTGAGGAGGTCTGTACCGTTTTGATGTGCCCCTCGAATGTAACTATATAAATGCTCAGCCCTATTATGTTTGTTCAACAGTACAGTTGTGTATCTTGATGTGCTCCGAGTGCATAAGCTTCATTGCTATTCCATACTCGTAAAAAGATTAGGCACGGTTGGCTTGTCTCTTCTTGCACTGATGTTCCTACAGAAAATGCGAAATCGTTGACACCCATAATTTTGAGGTTGGGAAGTATTGGTGAAAATAGAGGATTGGTGAAGCTAGATAGAGAGAGGTGCAGCAAGTAAGTATACATTACTATTCCATACTCCAACGATAGTAAAAGGATTAGGCACGGTTGGCTTGTCTCTTCTTGCTCTGATGTTCCAACAGAAAATGCGAAATCGTTGACACCCACATTTTGAGGTTGGGAAGTATAGGTGAAAATAGAGGTGAAAGAAGGATTGGCGAAGCTAGATAGAGAGAGGTCAGCAGTAAGCAAGTAGTATACACTTACTATTCCATACTCCAATGATAGTGAAAAGATTAGGCACGGTTGGCTTGTCTCTTGTTGCACTGATGTTCCTACAGAAAATGCGAAATCGTTGACACCCATATTTTGAGGTTGGGAAGTAGGGGACGTTGGAATGGAGGTGAAGAAGGATTAATGCAGATACAGTAGATTACTATTCCATACTACAAAGATTCCATTGTGCATGCTACTAAATAGGAGCAATGCAGTTAATCATCTCCACTTTTGAATAGAACAGATCGCAGTGTTTTTGGTGAGAAAGTACTTTGTCGAATTAGACAAGTAGCAAAGCAACACCTGCTGCTGTTTCTGTGACTAATATTCTCCTCTCGTTCCAGAGCCGCTGTTGCCAAGAAGACGCGCGGAGCCGCCACAGGCAGCTCAGACCCATTGCCGTGTGTCCAGGGAGCTTACGCGAGGAGGAGGAGCGGAGGAGGGGAGGCCGGGAGCGAGGCGGGGAGGAGAGGCGAGGGGGAGGAGAGGGAAGAAGGGAAGAAGAGAAGAAGGAGGAGAAGAAGAGCGAGAGAACTTGAGGCATCACCAGTGTGTGAACGTTCAGGAGAGATTGAGAGGGAGAAGGTTAGCACAGACCTATTTTAACCGCCTTGTCAGGTATCCACACACACAGAGGTGCCAATTTAGTAGCTTACAGTGTCGATACACAATAGACAGTTCCATCAACGCGTGTATGGCATATGTAGTGTTGTGGAAACCCACTCTAAGGTTACCTTAGTTGAGGAGCTTTTCTGTTGGCATCTTGCGTGAAGAAAGAGTTGGTCTGGTGGGTTGTTGTAGTGGCCTCGTATGTGCCTTTCTACCTCACCTTGGTGTTGACACAGTCATGCTTACCCCTTGAAATAAGGACCACTCACTGATATTGGGATATATTCGCTTCGGACCGTTCCATGGTGGCCCAATGTTAAGAGTTTAGAGGAGTTCCCGGTAAGGCCAATGGTTCTTCCCACAAAGAAGGGTGGAACTGACGGTGATTCCCAAGTTGGAGCAATTCACCGAGACCATACGGCTCGGGGGTCGTTGTTATTCGCTCTCGTGACTCCCCCCCACCCTCGACAATGACACCACCTGCCACTGGAAGACCTTAGCTTTATATGACTCTCACACAAAATCAGTCGCCAGCAAAGGTTGTATTTACTTATGCCAGCGGGTGTACACCGGTAACTTTCTAGAGATGTTTTGTTTCAGGCAACGGACAGTACAGGGCTAATCGTTAGACTCTGTCTTGTTATACTAAAAACTTAAATTGAGCTTTCCTGGCTTATGTTTTGGTTCTCTATCTTTAGTAAGTTTACCTATATGTACTGGGACAATCCACTCATGCCCTATAAAAAGACAAAACTTGATTATAATGTATAGTGTTAGGACCATCATCAAAACCTCTATTTTATTGCGCTATCCTCTTGTGTCACAGCTCTAGGAGGGCAAATACATTCCCGGCCTCACCCAAGAAAGAGGAGCCAGAACCCCTCCCTAGGCGGAGAACACGCAAGAAGGGGGGTCAAAAGGGGAACAGGACGAAGCAACGCACGTGTAGTGTAGGATGATCATGCTCATATGTTCACTATTCACGGTATATTGATTTATCGGAATGTTTTTGTGTGGGTGTGGTGTGTGAATCACAGTACATAGCACTCACCTGATTCTATTTTTTATTACTTATCAATGGGTAGATGACTTGTGTGTCATGTCATAATTCAGGAGGCAGTTTAGTAAGGGCTCATATTGTGTAAGAAATTTGTACATTTAACCCACCTTAAATTTATCTCGATTGTTGTCTACTACTTAAAATTTTT